ACTCCAGACTTAGTTACTTAAAGAATGGTATAAAATATGTAAATATTATATAATGGAAAAGAATAGTCGATTTTAATCATATTTCAGAAAATATTCCCAAACAAGATGTTGACTCTCTAATGCAATATTATAGATACTATCATAAGAATCTTTTGTGCGCCAAACAATGTTACAAATACTATACCAAAATACTTCGAGTAATATCATATCTGCCGCTGCTAATGACCGGCTCTGGCATAATTTCAAGTGGCGCATCATTAAATCCGTTTTTGTTAATAATATCTGGTGTCGGTGTTTCAATAGAAGCTGCATGTAAAAAAAAGTTGAACCTCTACTCACGACAAAAAGAAATGTTTGCAAAATAGCAAGTATTATTAAGGATGATTTAATAAACGCGAGTTCCGTGTTATTGAGAGTATGTTAACGGATATTCTACCAATGAGAGTCAGCAAATACGAAAATGATTATAATAAAAAGTAGATGCTTAATTTTGTATAACTTTAGACAGACATATCTTTATCAAAAAATATATCGACCATTTTATCAATAAATGTCATCACATCATCTGCCCAGCCGGCAATTCTCATATCCTTTTCAGTCGCGAAAAACCACACTGACCCATATTTCAGCGATATATGATAGCCTACTTTTTTAATACAATAGCTTATTATATTAGGTGTTATACCAGCATAACCTGACGCTGCTTTGATCGAATTAAATCTCTTTACAAATCTGTTTGTTAGATCAAATCCAACAGGTCTGATTGATGGTTTATGATAAGACAGTATATATATATATATATATATATATATATATATATATATATATATATATATATATATATATATATATATATATATATATATATATATATATATATATATATATATATATATATATATATACACACACAATTTTGTTAGTCAGCAAACCAATCCTGTTATTGATCATGATATATTATGCTGGATGTCTGTCTCTTGTCGTTTAAGACTATTGCATAAATTAGCATAACGTCCAAATTTATTGACTGCTTGGATATTGATTGGAAGGATGAAGTTGATTCCTGAACAAATAAAAAAGTAAAATTCCACTATCTTGAAAGAAATCTCTTTACGCATTATATCCTGAAAATGTAGCAAGCAATGGTGAAACTTTAGGGGAAAAATTTAAAGGCAATAAACCTCCTATGAGCTAACGCAAATAAAGAATGTTTCAATTGTATGTTTGAAAATTCTCATTAAACATTTTCATGTTTCCTATATTAGTTTAAACATTTCAACGCCACCAATCAATCATCTTTAGCAGGATTCTTACCTACTCAATCTTTGTTAACGAATACAAACAGCGTAATTCAAAACACTTCGTCTCCCAAAACTGTCCCGCATCTAATTTAGGACTGATTTTGATTTATATTCATCCGTTAAATGGTCTACGCCGAATTACAATCATGAGCGCCTGCCTGGTCGCGTTCGATAAAAAGTAAATAAACCCCAGGGTGAAATAAATAGCCATTGTTTGCGCTGGCGTCATTTGCTTCAGGGAAAACCCCCTAAGTTCGATTATCTGGAGTAAGCCTTTTGTCGGGCTCATGATTGTTCTTTTGTTCTCTGATCCGGTTTCATAAATGCAGGTAGTTAGAATTGTGATGACGCAATCGGTTTTATCTGGACGATTTTTTTTTTTTACATTCCCCTTATTATTTTGTCGTTTAGAATTTAGACATATATTTTAAATTTCCTATAGTGTACTGAGCATTTTTTTCTTTACGGAATATCAGCAATTTGAAAATCATACTGTGCCAGTGGCAGTAGAGCACTACGCTTTGTCAGAGTTGACACACTGGCAGCGGATTCTGACTGATATGACTAAAGGTGAGGTTCAAACTCGTACCTTTTCAATGATAATCACCAACGCTTTATGAACTAAGCGACAGTAGATGGCAGATATATTGTCTTCTCTCTCAGGGCTGGAACTTCCTATACAAATACTCATCAGAAACCAGATTTTGGCAACACAACACACATCTGCATTTTATCTTTGACTAAGAAAATGGGTACGTGATATAATTTCTTTACCAAGCAGGAGTTTCAGTTTGTCCCGACCTGCCGGACAATAACTTGTTTATCACAATGGCAGTTTAAACTGTAATATGCTGCAAGAACATGTAATGGAGCCCTCTTATGAAGGCATATGTGCCGTATCATACAATTTATTGTACCACCTGACGATGATGAACTATCGTCAAAGGGAGTTCAGTTTAGCTGGACGTTTGAAAATACCGTATGCGCACTACTCATAACCCGTCGTTACTTGCTTACAATAGAAATTTCGAGCAGCCGTACCATAATGTTAATAAAAATCATGTTGTTTGTTCTCTCATTGCTGTGTACTGGGGCATCATGCTACAGACATGTACCATGATGTCCCATCTAGTCACGCTATCCTGACACCAGGCCGACCAGTCCTAATACTAACTTGTTAATTCCGAGTACCTAGCGAAGTCAGTACCATTTTTATAAGACATTTGTATGACTCGACCGGAGAACGAACCCGCGACTTTCCACATCCTAGGCGGGCGCTCTAACCACCGGAGCGGTAAACGTCAGTGTGGAGATAGTTATAAATTTAGGGCAATTTTCTTAAAACAAAGCAACAATTCGGTGTAATTTTCATCTCTACTAATAATTTTCTTTACTCCATGTATTAGTCTGACTTTTTGTATCAGAATTATAGGATATTGATCTGGAAATATTTTAATGATTTTTCGCTAATCTTGAAAGCATAGACTACACGATATTTATTTCTTTCCTATCCTGTGCGCCTGTCTGACTATGCATGTGTTTTTCATGAATGTTTTTGAAAGACGTATAGTATTATATTTATTGCGTAACAACATACGCATAAAACCTTTTCGTGTTTGCAAGGTATTATCTCTTAAAATAAGTAGTTTATCTAGATAAAATCTCCTTTGTGCCTAGGGATTATTTCGCACACAAGTGCAGTATATTCATTAATACATCTTCTAGGGTTCTATGCATTAATGTGGAGTTAAATGAACTTCTTACATCACTTACTGAACAGAAAACGTAAAGCTTGCATGAGAAAAGTCTCGTTTATGGAAAATATACGTAATTAGATGCACGCACGCAACCCATTATATGACTATTTTACAGCTGTCATGGATATTTGAAACAAAACGAATAAAATATAACGACAAAAGAGATTGCATGAGATAGTTCCTTATAATATAATGTATACATCAAGTGTGAATGCAAACTTTGGTTTCCAACTGTTTGCCACCGAAGCGTCAATCAATATCCATCAGTGTCTGCTATAATTCTACCAGAGTGTAGGATATTGAACTATATTCTCAAGCGAATATGAGAAAAGAGGTGTTGATTATGCATGAACGTCATCGTCATCGTTTCGGAGGGGTAAGTGGGATCAAAATAAATAATTCCGGTCCTTTAATATCTTGAACAGTCTTGCTAAGATTCGTAGAAAGTTAAAATCATATATTCCTCATATTTGTTGAAAAAGAAAACAAATATATTTTGGTAAAATGTTTTAAAAATATCTTGGATCGAAAGAAAATTCCACCCCACCCCCTTCCAAAAAAGTATCGCCAATTTCGAGATTGCTAAAGTCTTTGCATGATGCCAAAAAGCCACCCGCTTGGAAACTCTCTCTCTCTCTCTCTCTCTCTCTCTCTCTCTCTCTCTCTCTCTCTCTCTCTCTCTCTCTCTCTCTCTCTCTCTCTCTCTCTCTCTCTCTCTCTCTCTCACACACACACACACACACACACACATACACATATGCACATGCCTTCTTTAAACTTTCGTACAATAATGAAGACTGGTCACGCTAAATAAAAATAAGTGTGACATATGAAATATTTGAAGTTATGTATATAAGGAGTAATCCGTTACATGTTCAATATAATGTATAGTAATCATTTACACGCATGCTCAGTGCCCTTTACTAAACATACAGCTAAGGTCAGCTGATGGACGTAGTGATAGGTCGTATACCGGACAAAAGAAAAGGTGAGGTGGTCCGGCGTAACACTAAATATTTTAAAATATTTTAACCGAAGTATTGGCTGGTTTATATAAAGTCACACCAGCCTGAAGAATAAGAACTTTTTCTTACATAAACACAACCAAATTATTCTTTACCACTCCCTCTATATTTAGAAACTATTTTCTCTTTGAAGTTAACGATGACAATAAACAAAGGTGAAGAGATTTGTCTGTCAGTCTCGATTTCGATAGACAGCCAGTGAAAGTTAGAGAGGTCCATAAAGTAACTCGACTGGATTGATGAACATGACATGATTGCTTGTTGGTTTCGCTTGAACATATCAGTTAAACAGATCACTTAAAGATTCAACACCTTGCTTAAACATGGCGGTTAAACATACCGGCTCAACGCGGTAAAATTCTCCAACTAGCCTCATTTTAGGTGGTATTTTATATTTTCTACACTGTATAACATGATGTTATCCAAATCTCTTAAATTTTTTTTTCGATAAGATTCGGATAGTGTCACCGTTTTGTCTTTTTGTTACAATGTTCATGTACAAAGCGTTGACTTTTATTATACTATTGAATAGACCCGAAATGTTTTGTCCTTGCATATCAGTTTGATTAATAAGTAGACTGACTTGTACATCGTTTTTCAGGAGGCAGTACTTACTTTGTAAATGTGCTTTATTTGATTCATGCCTGCATTCATTATGTCACGTCTACACATACACTAAACAGATGTGATGTGATTATGATTTTTTTAACGTAGCTTTCAGTCATATCGCTACGATGTCTGCAGTGTGACAGTTTATAGTGATGTCTAGCACTGGGGCATCATGCCGCAGACATGTAGCATGACGTCCCACCCAGTCACATTATTCTGACACAAGGCCGACCAGTCCTAACACTAACCTCTTAATGCTGAGCGTCAAGCGAGGTAGCTGTTAGTACCATTTTTGTAAGTCTTTGGTATGACTCGACCGAGAATTGAACCCAGGACCTCCCGCATCAGGCGAACGCTCTAACCACTAGGCCACAGGAAAAGTTCACTAAACATAAATGCGTACATTCAATTTGGTTTATGACCAGTGGCTATTATTATTATTATTATTATTATTATTATTATTATTATTATTATTATTATTATTATTATTATTATTATTATTATTATTATTATTATCATCATCATCATCATCATAATCATCATCATCATCATCATCATCATCATCATCATCATCATCATCATCATCATCATCATTTATAATCATAGCAGAATAAGTGAATCAAAAGAAGAGTTAAGAGAGGAAACATCATTGGCTCTTGTAGTAGTAGTAACAGTTGTAGTAAGAGCAGTAGAGTAGCAGGAACAGCAATAGTAGCTATAGTAGAGACAGTAGTAGCGACAGTAGTGGTGGTATTAGCAGTAGCAGTAGTACTAGTAGCATTGACTATGTGGTAGTAGTAGTAGTGAAATTAGTGGTAGTAGTATTAATTGTAGTAGTACCTTAGTGGTACTAGTAGCATTAGTAACAGTTGTAGTGACAGTAGATGTAGTAGTAGTAAGAGAGGCAGCAGTGGTAATAGTGGTAGTTGTAACAGTACTATTAGCAGTAACAGCACTAGCAATAGTAGTAGTGACAATAGTGGTTGTAGCAACAGCATTAGTAACGGTAGTAGTGACACTAGTGGTTGAGGTAATAGTAGTAGTAACAGTAGCAATGACAGTATTTGTTGTAGCACTAGTAGCAGTAGTAGCTGCAGTAATAGTACACGACAGCAACAGTCAGGAAAGTACTCATATAATTGCGAACAGTGCTAACATCTGCTTTATTACACTGACGGCGGCATGCAAAAAGAGGTACTAACTTACTCACACATCTGTGGTAAATGATCTTGGATTTTGAAAGAAAACAGTATAATACTCGCATAATGGCAAGATGTATTGAATGCACTTGCTTAAAAGACAAGTCCAACTGTAAACTGTACAGATCCATATCTGCCGTCGTAAAATGCATTGTCAGATCTTGGTCTGTGCAGTTTGGTAGGAGTTATCAGTAGCACAAACAACATAGACCCTGATCTGCAGGTGCTTTATGCTTTATTTCTTCGCCGCCTGCAGTTTGACATGACTTATAAGCGATTAAATACGGTATATGGTATTGCTTATCTCGGAGGTAATGCTGCGGATCGAGGAGCACGAAAGCCGAGGTTGCCGAGGGCGAATGCGGTGAAAACGTCATTGACTTTGATGATAAATGCGTGTTTTAATATTTCGGAAAATTTTACGCCTAAATCGAGTTTTCTTTCATGGATCTATTTTTTTATTGCATGAAGAATGTCTTGTTTAACAAAACTGATTAATGTTGTAGTGTGAGATAAAGTGTGAGATAAAGAAGGCGAGGTATATGTTTGTGTACACGTATAGTGTTTAGTATATCTGTGCATCACGTATAGTGTTTAATATATCAGTGTATCACGTATAGTGTTTAATATATGTATGTATGTATGTATGTATGTATGTATGTATGTATGTATGTATGTATGTATGTATGTATGTATGTATGTATGTATGTATGTATGTATGTATGTATGTATGTGCTCTCCCTCTCTCTCTCTCTCTCTCTCTCTCTCTCTCTCTCTCTCTCTCTCTCACACACACACACACACACAGACACACTCATGCTCTTTGTTTGCGGCAGAATAAACTCCCCTTCGAAAGGGTCTGGTTAAACTTACACTAAACTTAAAGAGGCATCCGCTATTCCCTGATAAAATGGGTAGTCCAAGGAATAAGATTTAATCAATGGACGAAACGCAAACTAAAAATGTTTCATCTGGTTTATTTACAATTTTTAATAGTTTTAGTAACTGCAACTCGTCGTTACTTAGGTTACGTTCTACGTGTAGTTCAAGTCCAGACCCATTGAAAGTCGCTGGCAGATTGTCTTGTTAACATAACACATTCTGAAGGAGGTCTGTATATTGCTGACCACACATTTCACAGGGAGTAACATCATGACCTGGTTATAATACTAGCAGGAATGTTATAACCTTGCTAATTCTTTCGTTCATTTTTATTCCTCGAAGTGCAGTACATAATGGAAGGGCGGAAAAGTGCTTTTAAGAATCTTCATCTGGGGAAATGATATAAATTGATTTGGTCGTGCCAAATCTCTTCCTAATCAAGTATAGTCAAGTTGACCAATTGTTTCAACTGAGAATTTGATTTTGTGAAAAATGTTTCATTAAGGTCGTCCTTCGATACAGATGTGGGTTACATTTTATATGAAACATTTATCCAAGACCAAAATTCGATATGCTGACTGCTGATTGTGAAATACAGCGCGTATGCTGTTGGCGCTACACAGCTGGCTTAATAACACCGAGATATTCCGTGAAGACTATCACATTAACATACAATATTAGGGGACAAGGGTCAATTTTTATGTACAAATTTAATGCCTCAATCAGCGACCTAGTAAACAAAAATCATAAAAATATATAATACACAAGTGAGGTCAAAAAGGTTCATATTTTTGGATACCAATGTTAAAACAAGGCAGAATATTATTCACTCTACAAGAGAAGTCAACGGCAGTTTATTACAGAAGTTTTTGCACCCCAACCCCAAATATGTACCTGCAATGTTCACATCCGAAGATAATTTTTGACACCATGTGACGTTCTCAGTGCAAACACAAGCCCTTTTCATAGATGACATTTCTTTAAAAGAGTGTGTACTAAATAGACTTGATGGAATTGTAAATAGTTGTCATCCAAACTGTTTTTGAGGTAATATACTTGCCCCAAACCCACGTGTTTACTGCTGTGGGAAGCTAGATCTGCTATTAAACTGCCAATGTCTGTTATTATAGTCATGTTTCCACTCTCGTGTATTATGACTGGTTAAAGCCCTGAAAAGGGCTAGCGGCCTCCCCTCCTTCCGAGGCAGGGCTCACCCGTGTCTCAGAGCTCGACACTTTTTGTGCCCCGGCGCATGGGCGTAATACCCCCCCCGATGGTTTACCACCTAAGCCGGACATCATCTTTCGATAATGTTGCTAATCTAGGGAGGCACTCAGCCCAAGGGCAGGGCTTTTGGTTTAGTGCTTGACCTTTTTTCTACCAACCTTAAAACAGACCTTTATGAACATCATAGACACAGTCACACTGCCTCGACCCCCGGGCTCGGAAAAGGCGAAGGAAAGGATCCAGCAAAGGGCGGTACCGTAGTTGATTCCTGTATTCTTGTGTGTTGAGATCCTCTTCCTTGTGTCTGTCTTACCCTGGGTCCACATATTTTGGCTTTGAAAGTGTAACCTTTTCACATTATTTTAATGTGGCCCAGGGCGCTTCCTACTGCCTTTCCTCATCCTTGATCGTTGGTTCCCGGGTTACCTTGAGTTGACGGCGTCGGCAATGGATGCGGCTTCCGCCCACTAAGTAGAGTTCCTGTTTCTGCCCGTTGCCTATTGGGGGTGGGAGACCCCTATCATAGCCAAACATGTGTAAGCCACATACGAGTCGAATGGATAGGGGTTGTGAAATTTCCTACTAAATATTAGTATTATGTTTTTGTGTACTATGCGTACCTGTAGTTCCAAAAGTTGAGTCAAATTTGGAAGGTATAAGCTACCTTGTGCATTTCAGTGATCTTAATTTGGTTTGACGGCGAATTATACACATTTTTTTCCAATCATCCCTTCAAGGGCCAAAAAAGTAGTTGTTAGCCGAAAAAGAGCTCTTGCCAAAGTGAGCTCTGTGTAAGGCATTTTGACTAACCCTATTTCACTACGCTGCTGTTAAAACAGCAGCAAAGTGATAGTAGAAATCTTCTTTCTTCTTTCTGTTGTCTTCTTTCTTCGGCTGGCCATTTTTTTTTACGATATATCGTGTGTAAAAGAATTTGATTATTACTTGCGTCTACTTTTCTTCTGTTTTCTTCCTGTCTGTTTCTTCTTTCTTCTTCTGTTCCTTTGTTCGTTTCTTCTTTCTTCTTCTGTTCCTTTGTTCTTTTCTTCTTTCTTCTTCTGTTTCCTTTGTCCTCTGTTCCTTGTTCCTTTGTTCTCCTGGAGCTCCTGGTAAACACGTCCGTCCTCTTCAAAGGCTGCTACCTCCTCCCATCTCGTCTCTCTGATCTCAAGCTAGATCTTCTTCTTAGCCGACTATTGGTATTTCACTATCTACATACTGCATAGTAACTATGGAAGGTGTACATGCCTGACATCAATTTCAAGGACAACACAAGCCCCAAACACCTAGTTCACAATTATATTAATATCTTTAATTAGTAAACAATATCTGAAAAAGTCACCCCATAGCCTTAAGTTAAGAAATTTGCCATGTAAGCGGTTGAGCTCAACTAATATGCTAGTAAATATGACATCTAATTTTAACGGTATATTATGCATATTTTTTATAAACATGTCAGAGTATTGTCTTTACATTAAACAATAAACAAACAATCCTTTATAAAAAGTAAACGACAACATGAAGTTTGATCTTAAACTAGTAAGGTTCAACAATGATAAGACAGGATTCACTCGGAAGCCATTATTAGCTCGTTTGTTATTATAACTGGCCATAGTACACAATTAATTTCACTATATTGTCTCTACATTTGTTTCTCAGTACTGAACTTTCCACTGTGTGACAATCAATACAAATCATATGTTAATCTAAAATACCTTCAAAGATGACTTTACGGTTTAGTTCTTGTCAAGGGTTGACCTGCATTTTTTTGAGAGGCTGAATTGTAAACAAAACACCAGGCAACGGAACACAGATTTCACTTCCGTATCATCACCATGACTGTCGCCGAAATACACACAGACATCCACACCATAAGCTCACATTTTAAAGAATAAACAATTGCCTTTAAATCCTTACCAAGAATGCCAAAATCTAACTCAAGTATCAATACCAATTTCAGACAGGAAAAAGTGATCTAAAAATAGACTGGGACTACATTCGTGGGTACTGAACCGGATTTTATTAATTGTGTACTGATTCCTGAAAGGGTCAATGTTTTTGTCAAACTTTTATAT